TTATTATAATTAGAAATAGAGCAAAAAGTGAACAAAATAATTCGTTATATACATTATCATTATTCTCATGTTGATTGAAATATATTTAAATGAAATATATGAAAAAGTAAATGTCAGTATTCTAACATAACCTCAGTTTTTATTATTGAGAGTGAAATTGATATTGTCATTCTTTAAGTTTTTTCCCGAAAAGAATTACACTATTATAAACATATCATTTCAAAATGAATATAAGACTTTTAAAAGATCCTGCTACTGTAAGTAGCCGTATATTTGTGGGTCACTTACAAACTGATGATATGACTAAACTTGAATTGGAAGAACATTTTTCAAAATACGGAACCGTTGTTGGTTCTTCAATAAATCGTGGATTTGGCTTTGTTCAATTTGAAGAAGAACAATCTGCTCAAAAGGCTATTCAAAATGAAGATGGTGCAATGTTTAAAGGCAGAAGAATAGGTATTTTTATTTTATTTATATTTTTATATTTAATAATATAACATTTTTAAACATATTGCAATATACTTTTATGCAACAGCTCATAATGAAAATCAAATAAAATAGTTTTTTTAAAATTATATCCAATTATTTGAATTTTTTGAGATGTTAGAATTAATTTAACTTACTAAATAATATATAAAAATTTTTAACAAATTATTATTCATTTGAATTCCAAAAAAAAAAGATTATGATTTTTAACTTTTTTACCTGAATCTATAAAAAAAAAGACAAACTTTTTGTAAATCTAAATAAATAATATATATATATATATGTATAAAATTTGTTAAAATCACTTAATGTTGCTATGAAATAGAAATAATCTAAAATGGTCAAATTCATAATTTTTTATAATTGATCTATAACTTAGTTTCACTTATTTATTTATTATTATAATAATTTATATTATATTAATATTATATATTAATATATTTCTTATTAATATTCTTATTTATATATTTTTTAAATAGATGTTAGGCCAGCAAAAAAAGATAATCAATCTAGTGGAGGTGCAGGAAAACAATTAGGAGGACCTAATCAATTTAATTCTGGCAATAATCATTTTAATGCTGGAAATGATCCTTTTAATGGAAATCAGGGTTATGGAGGAAATTCAAATTTTAATGCAAACCAAAATTTTAGTTGTGATCCACAATTGAATGATAATCAAAAAAGTAATAATATGCAAATTCGAGGAGGAAATGATCAATTTACAGATGGAAATCAGAATAGAGATAATATGAATGATCAATTTGGAAATCAAAATCGAAATAATGGGAATGAACAATTTAACAATGTAATGCAATCTAAAGGAAATAATAATTTTAATCCAAATAATCCAAATAGAGGTGGTACTGATCAATTTAATCAAAGCAGAGGTGGTAATCAATTTGGACCAGCTGGAAATCAAAATAGACCTAGTGGAAATCAAAACCGTAATACAAATAATCAGAATCAAAGTGGTAGTGGGGGAGGTATGAATAATGGAGGGAGTGGTCGACCAAGAGGTACCAGAGGTGGAAAAAATCGAAATAAAAATAGAGATAATTCAGGTGGAAATAACTTCAGAGATCGTAGTCCTATTAACAGAGGTCCACGTTTAGATGATAAAAGTGGTAGAGATTGGGATCATAAACAAGGGGATAGATTAAGAGGCAATAATTTTAATAGAGATTCATTCAATGACAGCAATAATCGTTATGAAGATTTTAAAAACTCTACTTCAAGAGATATGAATATGAGTTTTAAGTAAGTTAAAATATTTTTCAAAATTTTCTTTTTTTACATTAATATTATATTTTTATTATTTATTAAATTAATATTTTTGTTTCATATCTTCTTAATACAGTAATACAAGTACATCAAATGAATATTCAAATGTATCAACTGAAAAAAATGATTGTGAAATCATTGTTGTTAATAAAGTTTTAACGTAAGTATTAAAATAATTTATTTTAATTTTTTTTATTAATGTAATTTAAAATTATTTTTTCAAATAGAGAATATGCTGAAAGTATTGAAATGAGGTTAAAAAAAATTGGATTAACAGTTGATTTATTATTTCCAAATGAAGACGTCCTCTTAAGTAGAGTTCTAGGAAATATTGCAAGTCGTGGATGTTTATATGCAGTTGTAGTAACACCTATTAATCAAGAACACCATTCCTTAACTTTAAATATTCTTCATGGTTTACCTCAAGGTAAAGATTTTTAATAATATTATTAAAATTTTTCTGAATTATATTAATATAACTTCATTTTTCTAGAACATAGAAATATGTTGGTTGAAGACGCTATTAATTTAATATCACGCGATTTTGCTAATTACAAAGCCGGTGGACGATCAGTTCCATTAAATACACCTTTTGCAAATGAACGGCATCCTGATGCTATTCAAGTTCTTTTAAATATGCTGGCTGATAATCACCAATTAACAGTATTACAATATGATCGAGTTATAAAATATCTCGAAATTAAACGTGAAGAACAAGTGCAAGTTGAATTAGGAGATGTAAAAGATTTACCAACTACAACAACTACAATAACAGTCAGTGACCCAAAACAAGCCGAATTACAATCTAGGATACTTAATATCTTAAACAGTAATAAAACAACTTCATCTGCACCAGCACCAAGTCCAGTACCAGCTCCAACTTCAACACCAGCACCCGTTCCACCAGCTACTTGGGGAACAGGTAAAATTTATGCAAGTTTACTATTTAGATTTAAACAAAATGTACATAATATTAAAGATTTAATATTAGTAATTTTATATCAAATTTCTATCATTATAATATTTTTTATAAATTATCTTAATATGCATTTTATAAAAGTATAGATAAGTTTATAAAATCAATCATCAGTTTTCATTCCAGTAATTTTAAAAAATAATTATATTATTAACAAAAATTCTTTTGGTAAGAATTTAAAAAATATATGTACTATAAATGCAGTAGTATGAGTTTTTACTGCAGTATATATGTAGTTTCATTTGCTTTAAAAATACTATTATTAGTTTATTCATTATGCAAAAAAAATATTAAAAACCATGTCGCGCTTTTTACGTAATGAAACTGACCTGTTGCAGTTTTTTGCATTCTTATGAAGGTCGTTATAGGTGTATCTTACGGATTTTAGATCGCCTATCTATTATTTTTCTGTTTGGATATGTTTATGTATCTTTCATGAACATGTCTAAAGAAAATATAATTCTAAATCGCGTACATAAATTACTAATGAAGAACTTTAGAAGCAATTTGATGTTGATAAAAAACCGCAAATTATGTCTAAGAATTTTTTAGACAATACCAGGTAAAATTTTAATGAACACGAGTGATTTAAAAACATAAACGAACTTCGTACGCTTTGGGTTTCTGATCGAGTTCTTCGTGCGTGTAGTGTTATTGTGTCGTCTATACAATCCAGTGATCAAAGCGAACGAACTTCGAATATATATATTGCTGGTATTACAACTGCTAACTTCATGAGTACATCATATTATGCCAGCAGCATCAACTGCGACAACAGCATCCACTACTACTACTACTACTACTACGGGAGTTTCACCATCGCCTCTGCTAAACGATCCAACAGTTCAAAAGGCACTTGACAGTCTCTTGCAAGGCAATTTACTCAAAAGCATCGGCGATCGGCAACCGACCACAACTACAACACCTCTGTTCGCTGCTTTTTCGAATATCGGCCGATTTTAATTCATTTCAATTTTATTTATCATATAATGAATAATTGGGGATTTGGATCTCCTTTATTTTTCTCATATTTATACTCTCTCTGACTCTGAAGTAATTATTCTTGATTTAATGAAATGACAATTTTATGATAACATTTGATAAGAAATCAGAATTCTGATAGGATTGCATTCAATTGCAATAATTGGAATATTTTTCTAATAAAGTGTTAGTATGCTTTTATTTGTATCAAAAAGTATATTTTAAATGTAGAATTTATAATGGTTCACAAATTCTATAAACATTATTTACGTGATTTACAAAAGTAAGTATACTAATACTTGTTTATACAAATATTTGTTCAATTTTTTCATTCTTAGAAAAAAATATTTTAGTTCAGTATATTTCATATTATATAAATGATAAAGAAACAAAATATTAGAGAAGTGTAATGTTTTTTATTATTAGTTCTATATTTCTTCCATACTTATTCTTTTTTATTACTATAAAACTAGACAAAGATTGAATATACCTTAAATATTAACAGATTTAATGTATAATTATACATTCAACTTTATTAATTATATAGTTTCTTCTGATAAAAAATACTTGAATATGTAACATATTGATTTATAATAATTGACAATTTGACTAAATAATTCATTATATTTGGCTTAACATTTAAAGTTCATTATCATAATTTTAATTAATTGCTATGTTTATCTTTATTGCTTTTATAGTTTTTATTAATTTCATAAGATTACAATTTGATGATTGATGATATTTAATTAGTTTATATTATAAAATAAGATCAAAAATTCATTTCGGTAAATTTACAAGCCTCATATGCTTTAATGTAAAAATATATTGTATATGTGAGTATAAAGCATTTGATTTTTACAGTAAATGATGTAAAATACATAATATATCAATTTTTCTATTGCATTATTGAAAATATAGTATAGATTTTTAAATTTTTTCATTAATGAATTTCATTATCTATGTTACATGTTTTTAATTAGTTTGGATATTTACACAAATGTATCGTATATAAGAAGCTATGCACATTTTTTTAGGAATTAGATAAACATCATGTATAACTTCAATAAAATGTTTTTAGGAATATTTTATGTCTTTCATTGATAATTTAATTAATATTGATGTTTATGGATCTAAAAACAAGAAAATAATAATATATATAAAATTGAATTTGAATTTCAAGTATCTAATATTAATTTTTTACATACCCTTGCAGTCAAGCAATTAATATATAATTTTCACAAAATAATTTAAGCTATAGAGGCAGCCTTATTAGATTAATAAGCAAAAAGTAAGTATTCAAAGTGAAAATATTTAAATAAAAGTGGTTTGCAGGATATAAAGCATAATGTTAAATACTCACAGGTAAGCAAAGCTATAAATATAAATTAATATAAGCAAATTCATAATAAATTTACTTAAATTTACCTAAATAATAACTCTTCAGGTATTGTTCCGCATGAACGATTTCTTCACAAGGCTGGGATACTTCATTATATAATATACCAAGAACCGACTTTACTGCATCAATATCGTACATATTTTTCGCCAACCTTTGTTTATAAGGTTTCAATTTTCCTACAAGCTCTTTATTTTTACTAATAGAACCAATGTGATTTTGCAAAATTTTTTCGTATATAGGCCAATCAAATTGACATGCGATACAATCGCACTCAAAAAAATAGTCTTGCATTATTTTTTCTCTTCTTTCAGATCTTGTCATATATGCATATGCAGCACCATAACTTGTGAATATTTGATCTCCAGGATATAATGGTTTTAAAGCGCGGGTAATCATTGTCAGCCCCTCGAAATGACGAAATGTATTTGGTGCACAAGAATGATTATATAAACTATTCGTTACATATAATCCTGAACCTATTTTAATTCCTGGCTCTTGTTGCACCTAAAAAATAATTAATTATAATATAAAACTGTTCTAATATAATTTTTATCCTTTATTTTGTTAAATTGTTTGTTAAATTATTCTAAATATATTTTATAATCTATATTATATATTATGTATTAAATAAATTACTGAAAAACAATTGGAAGACATTATAACACAAGCACGAAACATGATGCTGCTACAAAATATAATGTCTGAATAATTGTTAATATCTTTTAATTGGTTCACTTCATATTTATTGCAGAAGAAATTAGTCTGTGTGGCTAAAAGGATAGCCGCGAGAGCTGAAATACAAGCAAAAGCACTGATTCCAATGAGTGGTCTCATTGTCATATTGGTAGCAAGACTCAAAGCAGATCGTGCACTGGTACTATCCAATATGTCTTCATCTGTAAATCCTGCAGTTCTATTATCTACAAAAGAAAAATATTTTATAAAATCTAAAAATGAACCGTATGTTATTATGATATTATTATAATATTTTTTTTCTTGTAATTTTTTATTGTTTTTTAATTCAAATTTTATCTTATATTCTTTTATTTTAGCAATAAAATATGAATTCTATTCTTTACCTGGATTAGATTCAGCTAATTTCATGTCAGCACGCAATTTATTGATATTTTTACCTTTTGCTGTTACTATGATCAAAAATCTAATAATTTTGGTAAGCATTCGTATCTTATCCTTATCAACATGAAGTAAATTTCCAATTAATGCCATAATTGGACATTCTATATCATGAGCCATTTCCCAAGCTAATATTCTACATTTTTCTGAACAGTATTGAGCCACAGGGCAGTGTAAACAAGGAATTAAATTATAGCTTCTTGATAAACAATGATGACAATGAGTATAATATCTGTAATTTATGATATTTTATTTATATAGATATATTAATATTGTCAGATTATATACCTTTGTGTATAAATAACATATGCATATGGATCTTCAATAGTAATTATATCTCCTGGTTTAAATTCTTTTGTAACTACTAAATGACGGCCATATTTTTCAGAAAAAGAAATGCTGATACCATCACTGACTGCTGGAGCTTCTTTACTAGGACCATAAATTAATTTTAAAGGACCTTCATCTGCTAAGTATCTTGGCTGTTTTTCTTTATTATTTTCAGATATTTCGTTCCAATTATGCATTGTATCTTTCTTCTCATTAATGTTAAAATTTTTATTTATATCTGAAAGTTTTGTCTCACCATTTTTATATTTTACAGTAAAAGATCTTTCTGATTCATTATTTATATTTTCTGATAAACACATATTTGTAAATGTTTCTGAATCAATATGATCATTATTTGTAAGCTTTAATTTTTTTTTAATTTCTTCAATTGCCTTAATTCCTCTTTCTTTTAATTTTTTCTTTTTTCTTCTGGATATCCAAGATTTAAAGCAGCATCAATGTCTATCAAACATTCTTTAAACAATTGTTTTCTATATAAAGCAGCAGATCGATTAGCATAAGCATGTGACATAAGTTCATTATTATTTGCATATGCCAAACTCATTGTATAATATTTTATAGCTTCGTTATCATCGCCCATTACGAAATGTTGATTTCCTAATATTTTTTAATCATAATAATTAAATGAATTATTTAATTATAATATTAAGAAAATATTTATTACCTTCTTCTCTAAATTGAATGGAATCTTCTTCATTTTTTACTTCAAAAATTAATTCTGGTAATTGAGACTTTATTACATTTTGTAAAATGTGACCAAGAAGGGCTTCGCATTCTTTTTGTAAACCATATCCTGCATGTGAACAATTACTTTGTTTTAAATTTAATACTAATTCTTTTGCTATTTCCATATCGTTCTAAAAAAATTGTATTATGTAAAAAAATTTATTTTATGTTATATATATATATATATATATATATATATATATATATATTGTGTGTGTGTAATAATTAAATTAAT